TGCTTGGGGTGTCCTCTTTTGTGTCCAGGCCCTTGTTGAACTTCTTTGTTGAAAATAAGGCCAAACAAAACGAGTTTAAATTCAAAGAACATGAAATTGAATTTCAATTTTGTTTCAATCTAAACTCGCCTAGTTCTGCTAAGTGCTGCCTTCGAAAAACAAGAACATGAATTGAACAACGTAGATTGGTGTGAATTGAATCCTTATGTATCCTTAGTTTCGTTTGGTTTTAGAAAAATTTGAATTGGAAGATTGATATGCCTTAAAAACCTATCCTTAGTGTTTTTGTGGTCAAAAGGAAAATGAAACGAAAGTAGATGATATGAGTTGCAATTCCTGCTTATGTTTGCTTTTGGATATACAGGAAATTTGACTTGAAAGTGAGTTGACATAAGAAATTCTTACTTTCCATTAGTTTTGTATTGGTTACAAAGGAAACTGAAATAAAAGTAGATTGGTGTGACTTCAATACCTCTGTTTTTCCTATGTTGCTTTGGTTATAACGGAACATGAAATGAACGTAAATTATTGAAAGTAGGTTGATATGACTGATCGTCAAATCCTTACGTATCTTGAGTTGTTAACCTTTTTTGGGGGGTATCAAGGAACATGAGTTGAAAGTAGGTTGGTATAAACTGGGCACCTTACTTATCCCTGGTTTCTTCTAGTTGTAAAAGAAAATAGATTGATATAAGTTGAAATCCTTACGTATCCTTGTTTTTTTTGGCTTACCAAGCAAATTGAATCAAACTTTAAGAGTAGACAAAAGAGTGAATTGAAGCTCTTGCTTAAGCTCATGATCTTTGGTTCCCCTGACCTGGTTTCACGAAGAAGGAGCCTACTCATCCCCCTCAATTGTTTGGGGGAGAGGGTGACCCCTACATAAATCAACATGCAACAGTATTGATGTGGTATCATCTCAAACTGCGTCTTTCCTGGGTTTTTCATGGCTTACCTTAACCCTATAGCTAGCTTGAGCGAAGGATGCAATTTGAGCGCACTTCCCCATGGCTTCCACGGTATCCGCCAAGCTTTTGCTAAGAAATTGACAGATTCAAACCAATGGCGATTAGATGAGAGAGGCCTCTATCAAAAGCAGAGTGCCGCAAGCATGTATGCAGCACACATACGCATATGCACAAGCACACATGTACGCACATGTTAGCATGTTAGCACGTACACAGGTGTACATGTTCACCCGGGCCCATATTCTTTGTTCACCCCCATGCATGTTCACCGTTCACCCCTCGTGCGTTCGCCCCCTCGTTCACCCCCTCGTTCACCCCCTCGTTCGCACTCTCGTTCACCCCCACGTTCACCCCCACGTTCACCCTGGCAAAACAAGGTCCCTCGCGATATTGCTCATTGCCTTCAGCTGCGAACTCGAAGACTTTTCTGCAGTGGTGTTTACGAAGGAGAATGTTGTTGCAAAAGCTTTAGCAGATCAAATCAGCGACATGCGTCCACCGACTCAAACATACTTTGGCCGCCTCCTTGGACGCATAGAGGAAGGCAAAGGCGAGGCGTATGCAACTCGTATGGATGTTCGCGGTAGTGACCGTAATCGCATCATTGCGCAAAAGCGGATACTCATTGCCACTGGTGGCTCTGCTACTGCCGAATTATCTATGAGATACTCGACGTTTAGCCTCTGGCTATCCAAAGTGTGGTTCGCCTTCATGGATGAAAGCCAACAGTATGGCAACTACCATGAAATTGCCTCGCTGGCAGCCATACAGCAGCCCGCACTGATTGTCTTTGTCGGTGACCACAGGCAAACCCCTGGAGGATTATCTAAAGGTCGAGCTGCAGCAGCCAACCGGAAGAAATTGCTCCAGCGGCCACTTGGCCTAAGAGCGCTCAATCGAGTAGGAGACTACCTACCACCTGCGCGACTCTCCGACCTTATCGCTCGGCTATGGCCCGATGCGTGCCAAGATGAAAGCTCTGACATTGCGTGGGTTAGGCGAGTCGGTCAAGAGCCTCACACTGTTACATGGGCTGCAACAGGGCAGGAGCAGCACTTGCCGTCTGCCTTAGAACGACTTCTGGACATACGAACCCTCCGTCATCTCAATGTAACCAGCAGCCTTGTTGCCACGGCGCTCTCAGTTATGTGGATTGCCACGGCACCAGAGGAATTTGGTATCCCAGAATGCACTGACACTCTTGAAGCAGCTGGTTTAGAAGGCCCCCATAGATGGGGTGTCATTTTACCAAACAGTTCGAGGGTGTCCTTGCTCACATACAAGGCTATAGTTGCAGTACGGTATCCGGAACTTGTCACCCATGGCCACAGACCATTACAGATAGGTCACTTCGTGTCGAATGGTCAAACAGTGGAATACGGTGGCTTCCGTGCGGTTTTCTGGGATGCACCCAAAGACCTCCGTAATGCAGTGGAAGATATGTGGTGTTGCTGGAATACCTTAAGAACCATCGCCAGAACATCCGCCAAGGGACCGCAAGTCAACTCCTAGTCTTGTGCAACCGCACAGCTGTACACAATCAACTCCTCCAGCATGGCTTTCAAACCACTTGGAGGGGTGGACTACGAGTGTCGACTTCCTCATCTGCTGCTGGCGCCACTGCTCTCATTGCTGTCATTGTCCAAACAGGGTGTGGCTTCCTTAGAGGAGGACGGCGTGGAGCCACTCTTGACGACAGGGAGGACTGCTTTGGGAGGGCAACGGTCGCGCTAACACGAGCAATCCTGCACACGTATATAGTCTCTCCAGTAGAAATGGCTGGTCTGATTGGCATGGCGCAGACACTAGCAGTTTTTCATTTCGGGTATCATACCCTGAAGCGCAGAGAAGTACAATTTCATGGCACCACGCGTATCCCAACAGATGCTGCAGCAATCCTTGACTGGGGACTTGATACCCCTTTCACATAGCAAGACCGACCGCCATTGGCCATTGCTATGATCGCCACAGTCGACGGAACCCGCTGTGTGAGACGGTACCGACTCATAGTAGCCCAAAAATCTAAGCTACGCCTCAGCCCGGAAGTTTCCACAGCGTTTGCATCGCGGACTGCAGATCACCGCCTCACAGCAAGTGGATTCTTCCCGTGCTCTATTGATAGGGAATTCCTGTATGGCTATGCAGCGCATGGGCACAGATCGCCCCTGTGGATCTGTGCTGCTTACGATGGAGCTCCGGTCCTAGTGCATAATTAATAGGCAACGTGGCACAAGGCTCTATTTTCATCAGGCTATTCACGAGAAAAAGATCATAGCCATTCCAGGCATCCACTACTTTGATGCACATCGTCTAGAAGCACTTCTTCTCACTGCCCCTGAGCTTCAGCTTTACCCCCGCGCAGGCAATCCCCCAGAACTGGAAGGGGCAGGCGACGCAGTGGCTGATCCTTCCTCTGACGAGAAACTGTCTACGTCCGACGAGGAAGATACCAGTGCTGAAGTTTCATCAGAAGACTTGAGATGGTGCCCGCCTAACCCAGACTCACAGGACGATCCTACAGAAGAAGAATTGGTAGGCGCTGCAGAAAAGCTTGAAACTATGATGGCTAGAGTGCAGCCCCCCTCCAATATCTTCTTTACACCTGCTAGCCTAGGTGCGCTGCCGGCATTATGGCTCCAGGCTAAACTGACTATCTCCCTGGCCCCCTTCCAAGAGAAGTTTGCCAAAACTTTTCCAAACAATTGCTGCGGAGCTATGACTGAGAGGACGTTCAGAAGACATTCTCAGTACGTTCCAAGGAGCGGCAAGAAGTGTTACGATCCGCGTAGCAGAGAGACTTGCTAAGTATATTTGTTCCCTGATGAGGCATGCCGCTACCTTGGCCACGCCTGAAACTGAGTGCTTACTATATGCAACCTATTGGTTCCGACCGATCCTGTCAGAACTCATCGCGGCAGCCACCGAGACGGCATTGATCAATCGAAATCGTGCGCCCAGTGGACCAGTCAAGGTGACAGTGACAACTCAACCACATGAACGACCACACGGGGGCATCAGCCTCACAAGTGGTGTCTCAGCGCTCCTAGCGTGGTTTCCTGCGAGCTGGGCCAGCAAAATAGCACCCTGCTTTCTTGCTCCTCAAGGAGGTGCACCACAGCACCCGCAAGAAGTGGCAATGTACGCGAGCTTGATCGGTGTTGTTCACTAGTAAGTAACCGGCCTCGGGTTTTATGCAAAACACCTTTTTCAAACAAAACCTTGTTTGGGCTTTTTGGGGCTTGCCCCATTTTTGGTGTTGTGCATAGGGTGATTCTGTTTCGGGCTGCCATTTTGGGTCAAGTTGTGGTGTCTAGGTAGACCGCTGCTCTACCCGGTTTTTCTCTCCTTTTTCTTCTGGGGGGTGCCATGGTTTTGTGACTGCTCGAGTGTACAGCTTACTGCATTTCCATTGCTCAGTTACACCTTTTTTGACACTGTGGCATTTGAGAAAATTTGGATTTGACAGTTGCTGCATATCATATGGACAGTGATGAGAAGCCAGTTTGTGTCGTCAAGCGTTTTCGAAAGTGTCCACCTGACACAGCAGCAGCTACACCACCGGTATCGGCCTCATCCAACTCTGAGTCCAATTTTTTATCATTTGTGCTGATTAAGTCTGATGATGGTACAGGACTGCAAGCTCCATCACCTGGTCAGGTAGCGGATGAGCTTAGTGACATTGCTCCACGTGATCTTTTTGATGCTGCGTAGTAGATGACATAGCTTCTTCAGATCTCAATTTTCAATACCGTTGGACTGAGTTTGGCACTTATGATTTTCACTATCAACCTGGAGGTCCGCTTGATCCCTGATCGCAGGTCATCCATTTTGGGGATGCCCACAACAGGTCCGATGTTGAAACCTCAGATGTCCCATCGGTCTTTTCCAGAGCCGGGTTTTGTCAATGCGGCAGCTTTATGGAAGCCACCTGTGACACAATTGAAGTCTCGTGCATCATTGTTGCCCACACCCATGTCATGTTCTCAGACACGGCCGAAATTTGCATTGCCACATTTGCCAAACCAGCGCATTATGTGTCCTGATGTTCCAGTTGTGCGGGAGCCACTTGCACTGCGACAACAGCCAGGGCCTACGTCGTCCATGCAGCAGGCTTGGTCGAAAGCTAAATTGGACTTGACACACCAATGGCTGGCTTTACTGACTGAAATGGGCACAGCAAGTGGTCTGGTTACAGCTACAGCACAGTCCAAACATGTTGAAGACCATCGTAGTCGTGTGATTGCGAAATTTGCTCCGAGCACTTTGCAGTCTTATTTTAGGATTTGGAGACGCTGGCATGACTTTGCATCTAATTTGGGAGCCTCACCATTCAATCCTGCGACAGTCCTTTTAGCTGATTTTTTGGCTGAACATGCTCATGGACCTTTGCAAGTGGCGACAGCGTACTTCAAGGGTCTCTCATGGATGTCAAGGCAAGCCCAGCTCCCAGATTTGTTTCAAGCATTGCAGTCAACGGTGTGCAAAGCATATTTGCAGTCATCAACCATTTCTGAAAAGAGGGAGTCAGCTCCATTGCCATTGTCATTCGTGCTGTACTTGGAAAAGACGGTCTTGGCCAAGACTACCACCCCTGGGGATGTGCTGCAACTGGGCTCGCTCTTATTCATGATTTGGTCCAGCCTCCGGTGGTCGGACACGCTGTGGATTCGACCTGATTCCATCACGATTCAGCAGCATGCAGTGTTTGCCTTGTCTTCTCATACCAAGACAACAAACAGAGGAATGCCAGTGGCTTGTTTCGCCTTTGGAATGCTAGGTCAACATGGGAGTGCATCATGGGCCCAGGTCTGGTTGAATGTGGTGCATCAAGCACTCTACGACACCATGGCCACGCACCCTGGTTTCGATGTTGACTACTTGCTGACGGAGATTGGGTCCGATGCCCAAAAACCACAGTTTTTGAAACCTTTGCCAAGGGATCGTGGCCTTCAACTTTTGAGGTACTGGCTTTGTCAATGCCATGAAGCGCACCAGGTTGAAGCCAAACCGGAGGACTTTCACCTGCTGGGCACCCATTCATGCAAGACGACGATGCTGTGTTGGGCTCAGCAGTTGCAATTACCATTGGAACAGCGTCAGCTGCAGGGCCATCACAGATGGATCTGTGGCTCTTTACAGTCGCAACGACACTCTGCCAGCTTTGATGTTGCAGTGCACAATTGCCCAGAAGGTAGCTGAAGGGTTTAGGCCACTTCGACCCATGCTCAGAGGTGGTGCTCCGTCTCTCCCGGATTTCAGTGTTCAGGTGCCAGCTTGGAAACCATTGCCATTCCAAGTTGACCAGCTGGCAGTCGCTGGTCAGACATCAGGTGATGTCACTTTGGCATCTGCTCCCAATCCTGATGATGCAGAGTCTGAGTTTTCTGACGCCTCAGAGGATTCTGATGACCCTAAGGAAAACCAGGTGGTCGAAGACCCACCTGACCAGATGGCCTTTCTCTTCAACCCTGTCACCAAAGTGGCACATGTGGCGGCACGTTGTGAGGCTACAGACCGTGCTATGTGCTATGAGGATTCCAGCTTGCAGACATTCCGCACGGGATGTGGTGCGCGGCCGAATGCCGTGTCTGGCGATTTGTGCTTCCTTCACTGCCTGCCAGATGGCGCACGCTTGTGCCTTCGCAGCGCATGTGCACGTTTCATGTCGAAATCAGCTTGAAAAAAACTCGAGACGTATTCAGCTGCCTTCGCTCCCTCCAGTGCATGTTGAGTGGATTCTGCTGATTGGTTTTAACATTTTCTTTTCCTCATTTTGACTCTGAATTGTCTTGCATCGCTGTGCAAGCCTTGATACCGCGTATCAATGATGTTGTTCTCATGAATCCATGACATTTTTCCCAATATTGGTTTTTTGCACCTGATGGTGACACGCTGCATCGGCATTTTCTGCACAGTTTGCCACGATTTTGTTGCTGTGAGCATTGGGTGTATATGACATTTTTCTTTTCCCGCTGGAATTTCGTTCATGCATTGCTTGCAGTTTGAGCCATGTATGGACCGTTGTCACAATCAAGGCTCTCAGCACCGTACTCACCTAAGGTGTATCATGTCGGTGAATCTACTGCTGTCAGATTCAACTCATGATCACAAATTCGAATAGAATTGTTTCAATGAATCTTCTCAATTCACAGTCCATTTTCATTTCAAGTGGGCACTTGCATAGGGTCAGACATTGATTTGTGTCGATAGCTGAACCTTATTTGTGCAGACAATGCGTTTGACGTTGACAGGCATTTTACGAACTGGCTTCACCATTTTCATGCTTCATTTTCAGGGCTGCTTACCATGAGGCAACGGGCACATTCCCTCTGCACAGGAAACATCTGGAGTTCAGGATGCAGAATTTGCTTTCGTTTTACGAAGGTTTTTTCCATTTGCTTGGTGTTTAACTCTTCTCAATGTCTCTTTGCAATCATACAGAGCAGTGCAACCCGTTTTTTAGCCTGTAGATTTGTGCCATGACAAGTTTGGCCCTCGATGACCCTGGATCATTCCGAAAGTTGCTGACCGAGTGTGCAGTTCCTGCACCCACTGTGGCAAATTTGGATGTCCTTGGCTACAAAACAGTTGCATTCCTAGGGTTTGCCATTCCGTCTGATGGCCAATGTGATGAGCTGATTGAGAAGATTACTCCCCGTGAGTTGGGGGAACCAATTGATCTTCTTTCTCCAGGTGCTGCCAGTTTACGTCGGGTTATTCGCCAATGCTATGAAGCATGTCATGGACAGGGTGGCCCTGCCAAGGACTTGGCGATGCCTGTTGCCTCCAAACCGAAACTGACCCTGGCTGAGTACAAGGAATTGAAGATCAAGTTTTCAGAACATTTTCCTGGTGAACTCCTGACTCCTGAGTCAACTCCCAGCTACATCTTCATTGCCAATTTGAAGGAACAGTTTGAATCTGGAACTTGGTCATGGACACCCTGGGGCCATCGGATTTCAGAACATGCAGAGATTCTTTTTCAGGAGAATCGAAAACCCCGCAGTGACCAACAGCTATTGCAACGCATGTTGAATCAACAAGAACTGCTGGATTTTCCCGAGGCTGCTGTCCCCTCGGGTGGGCCGGTCGAGCCTGTGCTTCTTCGTTTTCAGACGTTGATGGCGAATGCATTGGCAATGTTGCAGCTGGTGCATTTGATCGTGATCAAGAAGTTCCATCACAAGTTCAACGAGCTCGCATTGGCTGCTCCTTGTGATTCGTCATTGAGAGCTCCCAACCTGCAAGAGGTGTTGGCTGCTGACAAGGCAGTTTGGATGGCCGTCACAACAGCTATGCGTGATAACAGTTGGTCTCTGAGTGACACAATGAGTGAGATTGCCCATTGCAGACAGGACATGCAGTCAGCTTTGCAGCCACGCCCACGCGTGCAGCATCCAGTGGGGACTCCCAAGAAAGGTGACAACGCAGTTGCCCCCAAAAAGACGACCACTTCACCACCCATCAAGAAGGGCACCCATTTGAAGGACTGGCATGAGTCTTGGTTGCGCAAACACCATGGCAAAGGCATATGCATGAGATGGAACCTATCAAAGTGTGGCAGTGGCGATACCTGCAGGTACGCGCATGTCTGTCCAGTGCCGAAGGCTGACGGCACCGCATGCGGCCAAAAGCATACTGCACGAGCGCACAAGAGTGCGCCACACTGACAAGGTTCTTCATCCCTATCTACGGATGGTACATTGGAGCCTCCTCCAGGTGATTTTGCGATGCCAGCCTCACTGCATGTGTCAGCCTCCACTGATACCATAGCTGACGAGCATAATTCAAATTTTGCTTATTTCCTTGACATTTTTTCTGGCGCTTCATCCCTGGTCTCAGTGGCCATTCATGCGCTGCAAGCTGATTCCATTGAACCAGTGGACCTGATTTTCGGAGCGCATTGTGACCTACTTGATGACAAAGTTTTTCATAATGTGGTGAACCTGGCAGCTTCAGGATTGGTTGGTGCGGCATTGGCAGCTCCATACTGCTCCAAACATTCGCTGGCGACTCTACGGCCAAATGGGCCCAAACCAGTCCGAACTCCGTCTGCATTGGATGGATTGCCTGACAACACAGCGCTGCAGGACTACCAAGTTCAAGAGTCAGCCACGATTCATGACAGAGCCCGCTACATTTTGAGCCTAGTGGCGGCCAAGGGTGGCATCATAGCGATTGAGAATCCTCTCTCCAGCATGGCTTGGGTGCGTTGCACAGCTCCCTATCTAGCTGCTGCTCCAGCCTGCATGTTTGGTGAAAAGCGGCAGAAGTCTTGGCTTTTTTGCTCCAATAGGCCTGACATTTTAGCTGTGGGTGTTGCATGCGTACATGACCCCAACACTCACCTCAACTTTGCAGGGAAGAGATTGCCAGATGGAACCTTTTTCAGCAGGCTGACGGCGTGCTATCCTGACAAGCTGGCTCAGGCGCTGGCCCAGATTTTTGTGCCCTTCTTGACCAGGCATTCTCATCGAATTTCCTTAACATCGTGGATGTCATGTTTGCTATCGGTTTTTATGCCTCAACCAATTTCACATCGCGTGGAAGATGGAGGTGGTTTGTGCAGCACAGCGGTCTGGCATACACCGCAAGCGAAGGATGTTTTTTCTGACTTGCGAAAACGCTGGACTGAGCGACTGTTCCGCACAGGTTTGCATCAAGAGATCATGGCCCAGTTTGCAGTGGGCTCCAAAGAACCTCCAATTTCACCAGAGCAACTGCAACCATTTTTGGATGATGTTCGGGATTGTTTTGCTATCCCTGCAGCTGACTGGCCAGCATTGGTGCATGTGGAACCAGGACAACCTTTTCGCTTAGACCTCTGGAAACTTTTGCTTCAGTCCATGCAGGATCCTGATGTAGGTTTTTTAGATGAGCTCAAAGCTGGCGTACGGTTAGGTGTTCACAACGAGATCCAACCCTCTCCATTGTGGCCTTTGCACCAGTCCACCATTTCAGATGATCAGGAATTGCTTCAATGTGAATCCTCCTGGAAAAGTGCTCTGGACAATCCAGAGCTGGTCTGGCCCCTCTTGGAAGAGGAATGCGAGGCAGGCTTCATCGAAAAGGTTCCCGGTGGCCTTGCACAACTCCAAAAGGAACATCCACATGTTGCAGTTGGGAAGCTAGGCCTTGTTTGCGCTGAAAACAGATCACCCAGATTGGTGGTTGACTCTACAGTATCCGGTGTTACACAGAACACCAGCATCCCCAATCGCATGTTGCTGCCCAAATCACGGACGTGTTGCAGGCAGCTCCAATCCAGGCATCTTCATCACTGATGGTGGCATTTACGTTGGACGTGTCCAAGGCACATCGTCGCATAAAAATTGCCCCATGTGATCAAGGTCTTTTGTGTTTTTGGTTTCAGGACACCTTGTTCAAGAGTAAGACACTCAACTTTGGCGCTCGAGCGAGTGGATACTTCTGGTCGCGGGTTGCGGGCCTGATGGTGCGAAGCTTCCACCGTCTACTTCATGCGCGCCATTCCCTTTTTCAATATCTGGATTGGTATCCTCACAATCACTTGCTTGACTTTGGGTATCCCTATGTCCTGGCATAAGACAGCTTGTGGACCCCAAGTGACCTGGATTGGATGGCGCATTGACGTTCAAAGATGGTTGGTCAGTATCACCTCCGAAAAGCGTGAGAAGATTCTTTCTCTGATTGATACGTTGCTGAGGTCATCAAGGTGCGACCTCAAATCACTTGAATCTTTGACAGGGCGACTCCTCTGGGTCTCTACTTTGTGGGACACATTACGTCCACTTCTGGGCCCCTTGTACCATGCGATGATGACAGTGCCGTTGACTTTGGTGTCCGTTTCCCAACCTCAATGGTTGGAACTATTAGAGCTGTTGTCTGACGACCTGATCTTGCAGAAGTCCATGTCCCATCCATCACTTAAACGCTCTGTCAAGATTGTCCGCGTTGCCAATTTTTTGCTTCGAGACCGACACCATGCGCGAACACTGCATTTCAAATCAAGACGTATTTGGCTGGGTGTGCATATCACTGGCTCTAGCAAACGAAAATTGTCAGCAGACACACACGAAGCTCTTCAAGCTTGGAAGGATATCCTCACGGGTTTTCATAATATGATTCCAGCACCGGCTTACCCAGTCCAAGCATCGGCTGATGCATGTGCTACTACACTGGAAGCTGGCCTGGGAGGCATCTTGCGTATTAATGGTGCAGTGATTGGATGGTTTTCTTTCGTGATATCCTACCAAGAGGCCAAGGAACAGTTTGCATGGCTTTCAGACTCTGTGCAGAAACGTATCAACGTTTGGGAACTCTTGGGACAGTTCTCCCTGGCATACTGTTTGGATCGAGTCCTCAAAGGACGTAATCATCCTATCACAGCCATATTTGCCTGCGACAACACCTCTGCAGAGGCTGCTCATGCTAAAGCCTTATCAACTTCAGCTGGCATGTGTCAAATCCTGGCGGCATTCTTTCGCTTCCAGCGGATTCACAATTTGGATATTTTGATCCAACACATCCCAGGTATATGGAACGATGACGCTGATGCACTGAGCAGAAGCCGCACTCTGGCATGCTGCCCTGATGAGCTGCGAATACCAGTTCCCTGGCGATGGCTGATTTCATCACATCCACTTTCATCACCTGGTCAGGCGAAATTCCCTCGCACTTTGCAACCGCGATGAGGTCAAA